CGTGAGCCCTGCCATGTGTGAGGCTCTGTCCTAGCTTTCGCTGGACCCACGCCCACACAACCTCAAATCATCTGCTGTGAAATTCCAGTTCCATCCAAGCCTCTCGCCTGAGAGATCCCCCGAGGACGGACAGCAGGCCGGAGGAGGAGGGAGTTAAACTGTCCCGTCCACATACCAAAGAGCTCCGAGAAGGGGTCTCCACTCCCGAAGAACTCCCGGAAGACTTCCTCGGGGCTACGGAAGGTGAATGTGAAGCCAGGTCCCATCCCACCAGTTTCTGGTTGAGAGGGAACAGTTCCTGGAAGAGATGAGGAGGGAGCTTAGAGGGGAATTTGGCCCTGAGCCAGAGGAAACACCCCCCCCCCCCAAGGCATGGCCAGGCACCTTAGAAAGAACATGCTCTACAAGAATTTGCCTCCCCTCCCTCCTTAGCCCACTTTCATCCTGCCCCCCCCACTTCACCTACCTGCCCCTGTCAGCCCTTCCCGGCCATAGCGGTCATAGAGCTCCCGTTTGTGCTCTGCAAGAAGAGACCTGGTCATTCCTCCCATTAGGCAGCTACCTCCCCTCCCAGGCTAGGATAAGCTGCAGAAAATGCAACTTAGGAGAGGGCAGGTGTCTGGGCACACGATCATAGCAGCTACCTGACTATACAACACATGCTAATAGCACCTACTTTTTAAAAAATTTCATTTTACATTCCATTCACAATTCTGTCTCCCCACCCATCCTCCCATCCCCCACCTCCCCCCAGCCCACCTACCTATCCACTCCTCCCAACAGGTATGGGCTCCCATGGGGAGTCAACAAAGTCTGGCACATTAAGTTGGGGCGTGACCAAGGCCTCCCCCTCTGCACTAAGGCTGACCATGGCATCCCACCATAGGGAACGGGCTACGATAAGCGAGCTCACGCACCAGGGATAGACCCTGGTTCTACTGCCAGGAACAGTACCTTCTCTAGGCCAGCAAGAGAACTAAATGAGATAACTCACCAAAACTGCCTAGCATAGTGCCCAACGCATAACACAGTCAGTGTAAGCCAGGGGCTGAGGTAGAGCTCAGTGGTGGAGACCCTGCCTAGCAGGAACAAGACCCTGGGTTTACCAAGGGGCTCCACACAAGTAAGTAAATAAATGTCAGCTAATTACTACCATATTGTTGTCAACAGGCTTAGCCTGAACCAGCCATTTCCACAGAGACCTGCTAAGACCACAGTGGAAACCCGTGCCAACCTCCCCGGGTACAGCCGCCCTCCGCTGGAAGGCTCTTTCCAGTGTATAACCTATCTTTGCATTTACCTGGTTATTGCCAGTCTTCTCTGATCCGAATGTGATAGACCCACATGATGAGGACAGGGCCTGCTTTCCCCCCACTGCCTCCCTAGTACCCCCAAATACCTGACACACTAAGTTTAGCAGATATTGTCTGGGATCCTTCGGAGATTTGGTTTTGTTGTTTAGAGACAGGGTCTTACTCAGTATCCAGGCTGTCTTCAAACTCTCGGCTACCATCCTCCCTGTGCCTCCTCAGTGCTGAGATCACAGGAGTGAGCCACCACCCACAGCTAAGAAATATAGCTTTTTAAAAAAGACACTGATCGGGAGCTGGAGAGATGGCTCAGTGGTTAAGAGCATTGCCTGCTCTTCCAAAGGTCCTGAGTTCAATTCCCAGCAACCACATGGTGGCTCACAACCATCTGTAATGAGGTCTGGTGCCCTCTTCTGGCCTGCAGGCATACATGCAGAAAGAATATTGTATACATAATAAATAAATAATTTAAAAAAAAAAGACACTGATCATGTAGCCCAGGCTGGTCTTGAATTTGAGAGATAACCAAAGGCCTTGAACTTTTATCCTCCCGTGCTAGGATTACAGGCAGGCACCAACATGCCTAGTTTATGTGGGACCAGGGATCAAACCCAGGGCCTCGTGCATGTTACCAAAGCACTCTGCCAACAAAGTTACATCCTCAGTCTGCTGTTTGCTGTTGTTTTGAGGTTTATCCACTTATTGAGACAAGATTTCTATATGTTTAATATATGTAATTTATTATTTATTAATAAATAAGTAATATATATATATATATAAACCATTGAACTCAAGATCCACCTAAGTACTGGAATTAGAGTCACATCTAGTCAGAATATCTTCTGCAAGAATGAATGGCAGACCTAGGATTGTGTCTTAACAGTAGAACACTTCCCTAGCATGTACAATGTTCCAAGCACAACCTGCAGCACAGAAAAGAAAAAAAAATCCACCTGTCAGACCTGGATTCATATTCTAGACCAAGACATGGGCAAATTATTTCGCCTCTCTCAGCCTCGGTTTGTCTGCCTATAAAGTGGGGGTGATCTCTCTCAGCCTCGGTTTGTCTGCCTATAAAGTGGGGGTGATAAGCCTGCTTGGCAGGAAAGCCTGTGCCCTTCCCTGGTCATGACCCAGACTGCTTTCCAGACCCTGGGAGACAGACGAACTCGCCATGTCGGAGGAGGCACTTAAATGCTATCTTAGAGAAAAGCAGGGAGGAGAGGGGTGATGGAGGTTTGGCTTTAGGAAGGAGTGAGATGCGCATGATTGGAAGCGGGGCGGGGGGTGGGGGGAACATGCTGGTCCCTGATGGACCCTAAGCCTTACTGTCAGATAGTACTTCATAGGCCTCTGCCACCTCCTTAAATTTTTTCTCAGCAAACTCCTTATTATCTGGGTTCTTGTCCGGATGCCACTGCAGAGCCTTCTTCCGGTACCTGCAGGAGAAGTGAAAGGAGCTGGAGAGTCGCGGAGCTGACGTGGGTTCTTCCCACGAGGCAACTGAACCACACTCTCTTAGTCCACCCACCCTCTCACTGCTCCGATCCAAGAACGCCCAGGGACTGCAGCCACGTTTACAGGGGGTTCGCTCCCTGCTCTGTGCCAGGAATATGTGCCGAGAGTAAGGGTGCCAGAAGAATGTCCCCACCCAAAGCCCTCCCTCATTGGATAGAGCTATCTAGAGCCACAGAGTGTGGGGACACTGGCCTACCTCACAGAGCCCGGGCATTTTAGCACTGCAACCTGAGCATGCCCACATGGAGGAGCTGGAGGAGAGGGGTATCTGGTGGGTGTGTACTGCGGGCTCTCAGACGGACAGCATTTCTTCCCTCGCTGGACATGGTTCTCGTAATTTCCCAAGGGTCCCCTCCCTCCCTCCAGGCAGCCCTCTAAAGGGTCCCTGGCGCTGGGGTTGAGGGGCGGGGGTAGTGGGGAAGAAGAGACAGAGGCTTTCTGCAGCACAGTAGAGGCACTTACGCCTTCTTGATGTCATCAGCAGACGCACTCGGCGGTACGTCTAGAATCTCGTAGTAGGATGCCATGGCAACTCAGCCGTCAGGCGGCCCTCCTCCGGGCTGCGGGAGAGAAGGGATCAGGCCGAGTGAAGCACCGCGGCTCCCTGCGCTTGCAGCCCCCGGTGCGGGGCGGGGGGGGGGGGATGCAGAAGGCGCTGCGAGGTGAAAGTCACGCCTGCAGCCGATGATTAGGCTCCTTCACAGCCTTATCGGGTCCCGCAGGCCCGTGCCCGGGGTTATTTCGCCGCAGGCCTAGAGAGCCCTACCCGAACCCCCTGACTCCAGCAGCCCAATCTGAGGTCCCCAACCTGACCCAGCTGGGGCCGCACCTCCTCTGCCGAGAGTCCCGCCCCTGCCCCCCGCGGGGGAACCGCCTGGCACCCGCAGCCCGGCTCGCGGCTGCTGCGTGCGACGTGCCAGGCTGGGTTGTGTGCGCAAGCGTGCGTCAGCACCGCGGAAACTACTAGAGACTTAGAGAGGGCCGGCTCGGCCGGTCACACTGGAGGGGGAGGGAGGGGGCGCTGCAGGGACTGCTGGGAATGGGGGAGGAGCCGTCTATTTTAGTTTTGCACCCAGGCAACGTCATTCCCAGGTGGGACTTGGAAGGCTGAAGTTTGCTACATCCTTCCAGCCATGACGCACTCCCTCAAACACAGGCAGTGAGGCCGTCCGCAAACTATATGCGGGGTCTCTTGCCCCTCTGTCGCTGTCGTCGAAATATACTTCATTGAACCCTGAGTACGCCCCCTAGAACATCACCTCCAGGACTCACCTAATCTCCTCTAGGCCTGACTCCTCCCCTTCTTCATAGCCTAGCTCCAGCCCTGTCTTCAAAAGAGGCTGCCCTGGCTCTCCTGAGTAGGTCAGACCTGCTTTTTATAGCGTCTCGTGGCATTTCCTTCTCCACTCTTTTCAGAGCCACAAATTAACATTTATTTGATGATTATCCACCTCCTCCACTAGAATGTAAATTCCCCAGGATAAAAATTGTGTCCTCCTCCTCCTCGTCGTCCCCCCCTTTAGTCTTCAGTTAGAGTTGAAAAATAATCAGCTGGATGGCTAAATAATACTGGGAAGAATCTTGATAACAGTTTGACACATAGGAAAGGCGAGGGCCTAAGAAAAGGAGATTACTAAATTCAAAGTTCCTCTTCTACAGCTGGCCCTGAATAGATCTATTCCACCTGAAAATGATTCCTGGATTCAGACCTCATGAAAGAGGGAAACTTCCAGAACCAGCTCGCTCTTTATTCCGTCTGACCAATTCCTGGGCATTAGTTGAGTATCTTCTATTTAGTGGACGCTACCAGAATGTACTAAGAATGGGGACGGGGTGGGTATGGGTATGTCTAGCAAACATCAGGCCTTCCTTAGCCTCAATTCCCAGCACTGGGAGAGGGGGAAGGGGAGAGGGAATAGAATGTGACCTAGTGCCTACTGTCAGCAGTGTCCCCCGGGAACCTCAGGACTCTAAGAGCAGGGAGACCTGGCCTTGCAATTGGATGCTGCTGTGTGGCTTGGGAACGGCTGAGTACTGTTTTTCTCCTTAAATACAGGTAGCAGCTAGAGTTGTTTGAAAGTCTTGATCTGAAGCGTGTTTTATAGAAGGTGTTATTAGCTAGCACAGTGCCTTCTGGTGTCACACCTGACCCAAGCAGTAAAAGTTGTATGAACCCGGTCAGGATGAGAGCCCTGGGGACATCACATCCAAAAAACAGCGTGAGCAGGAAACCTCGAGGCTCTCACACGCTTCCCCGGTCTGAGGGTACGTGCACAAGCCATGAGCTCTGACAGTGAGGTACCACTGGTAAGTGGGACTTCAAATCTGGAGCAAGGCAGGGAGAAGGGAAGGTGGCTAGGAGTTTCTTTCCGTGTGGTGCGGGTTGCCATGGGGCTTGCAGCGGCCTCTTGCGCCTGAAGGAGGAAGTGTCTGTCTCCCTGTTGACGGCAGAGGATCACGGCAGCAAAAGGAGGGGACCACCTCTGGTGCTGCTGCGTGCTGGGGTTTGACTGCCTGCCCTTGCACCGACTGAATCAACGTAAACGCCATACGCTGCTAATTTGAGGGTGATTCGGGAGAGGGAAATGGTTTAGTATGGGGCTTGGGTTTTTTGTTTTTTAAACTTGTTTGATTTTGTTGTTGGTTTAATTTACTTGAGTTAGCTTCTGCTGTTTGTGATAGGAGCCCCAACTGGCCCAGTAGTCCGGGGCTTATATTTGGTTTAAGCAAACCAAGTGTAAGTAGATTACTCCAAAATCTTCCAAGTGTTTTCTGTTTTCTTCTTCTCTTCTCTCAACAGACAACTGTCTGGCACCTATCTACCAGATATGTGAAATTAAGAAGAGAAAGGCCAGGGCCATTGAAGTGGCTCAGGGTAAAGGTGCTTGCCACTAAGCTGATGACCTAAATTCAAGGCCTGGGCCCCACAGGGGAGAAGAGAACCGGTTTCCACAGCTGTCCTCTGATCTCCACTTGGCGTGCTAGGGCTCAGGTGTGCCCACACAACAGAGACACAGACACACCACAGATGTGATTTTCAGCACTGGGTGTGGTGGATTGCAGCTACAGCCTCAGGCCCTTGGGAGGCTGGGGTAGACAGGCGACCTCAAATTCAAGGCCAACCTAGGATAAACTGGGAGTTGCAGACCAGCCTGGACTGCAGAGTGAGTCCCTGTCTAAAAAACAAGCAAAAAAAAAAAAAATCCTCTACCAACAAAAAGAATAAGAATGCAAGAAGAGTATGTAGGAGCCTAGAGTCTGTGACTGAAGGAGACCAGACTGGGCAGTGTAACAGACAGGAAGACAGAGACGTTTATATTTAGAACATGTGCTCAAGGAGCTTAGATTATTTGACAAGATGTAGATAAACAAAAACCAAACAAAAATTATGAAACCTACCTGGCAGAAGCAGATAAAGGCTTCCCATTTCTTTGTTCACAAACAAAGCCAAAGAATTTGTAAGACAAGCTTCTTTTTAAAAATTTAATACTGGGGGCGCTGGAGAGGTTCCTCAGTGGTTAAGTGTGCTGGCTGCCCTTGGAGAACCAAAGTTCAATTTCTAGCACCTCACACCTGCCTGTAACTCCAGTTCCAGGGGATCTGACTCCCTCATACAAACATACAGGCAAGCAAACCACCAATGCACATAAAATACAAAGAGATGAATTATTCTAAACAAACCTGAATCCTGGGGATTAAACCCCGGGCTAGCACACCTGCTAGGTGAGTGCCCTTGCCCTTCGAGCACTCAGTGTGATTTTTAGAAATCTTTTCTCCAGTGGGGTGGGGAGTGTCAAAACAGTGTCCAAGAATGGAGTTGTGTGAGGTTCCTAAGTCCCTGTGAGAAAACAAGAAGCCAAGCCGAGAGTCTCGTGAGCTCAGTTTCTGCAAATGACAGATTTTTTTTTCCTTGGGTTATGCATAGGAGTGAGTTTGCTTCAGGTAATTCATTACAGCCGGCTGTGGTTGTTTGTTTCCATGCCGCTGTGGAAAGACACGTTTCTGCTGAGTTTGGCTTGCCAGCCACATGTGGTTTACCCTTGTGACTGCCTGCTTGACTCTTATGACTCCTCTTAACCCTCAGAGTAAAATTTGTCTGATGCGCTGAATAAAGAGTTGGCCATTGCATGAGACTTCCGTCCCCCTCATTTATGGGCTTCGTTTTCCCAGGGATGGGCAAGGTTGAGACAGGCTCTCTTGGAGCTGAGGCTGGCCTCAACGTTACTATGTATCTGAGGTGGACCTTGAACTCTGATCCTCCCGCCTCCATCTCCCAAGTCTTGGGTTAGCAGGTGTGAGGCACCATGCCTAGCACTCAATGCAATTTTTAAAATCGATAAAGGCCACAGACAGCTCCCAGAGAAGGGCATTCTGCCTTCTTATTCACGAAAAGATCTTCAGTCCCTTTATAATGAAAGAGGTAGAAACAAAATCTTCAAGGAAGCACTTTGCTCTTTTAGTGATTGACAGTGTTCAAAAAGCTGAGCACACTGAAGGCAAGGCTGTGGGTGCAGCTAGAGTTGGGCATTTAGAGTGGGACAGCTGATAAGAGGGAGTCATCTGAAGACAATGATATGGGACACAACAAAATCGAAAGTGTAGCGTTTGATAGAGCAAAGCCAGTTCTACAAACTTGTGGTTATACATATATGCAAATAAATATGTTCATGGACTAATGCATTTTTCTTTTTCTTCTTCTTCTTTATTTGCTTTTTTCTTTCAAGACAGAGTTTCCCTGTGTATCCCTGGCTGTTCTGGAACTCACTCTGTAAACCAGGCTGGCCTTGAATGCAAGTACTGGAACTAAAGGTGTAGCAGGAGCGGTGGGCCACTTCCCGCCGCCCGCCCAGCTAGCTTTACCCAAAATAATTACATGGAAACTGTATTCTTTTAAACACTGCTTGGCCTATTAGTTTTAGCCTCTTATTGGCTAACTCTCACATCTTGACTAATCCATTTTTAATAATCTGTGTAGCACCACAAGGTGGTGGCTTACTGGGAGGATTCTAACCTGCAGCTGTCTTGGAGAGGAGAGTCATGGTGACTGCCTGCCTCTGCTTTCTTTCTCCCACAATTTTGTTCTGTCTATTCCACCCACCTAAGGGCTGGCCTATCAAAAAGGCTAAGGCAGTCTCTTTATTAACCAATGAAAGTAACAATAGACAGATGACCCTCCTCCATCATTTTCCCTTTTTCTGTTTAAACAAAAAAGAAAGGCTTTCACTTTAACACAGTAAAATTGTATATAACAAAACAGTTATCAAGCAAGAATTACAGTTACAATATTTATATCTACTTTATCTTTTATCATAACTAAGGAAAACTATAACTAACCATTCTTCAACTCCATCAAAGACTCCAGAAGGATATAATATTACCTAAGCAAACAAGAAATAAGCAACTTCCAAACTCTAGAAATGACAGAGACATCTCGCTGCCTGGACAGTCACCCAAAGTTCCTCTGTACCGTTAGGGCATCCATCTTCGGCCTTCAGGCCCATAGTATCCAGCAGACATTTCCATGAAGCAGGAAATTTCAAAGGCAGTTCAGTCACTATGTGCTGTGTCCTGCAGAATGTCTCGGAGACTCTTTCATGAATCAGGAACCCCGAAAGACCATCTCATCTTTAGGTAAGTTCAGCAGTCCTCTCTCTGCGGGTTCTCTGTGTCCAGTTTATGCAACAGTCCAGGCAAGAGCAGTTTCTTACCCAAATGGCTAACCAACTCCATAAGGAGCCTCTTCGATGCCCATCTTTCTCTTGAAGTAGATTGGTGCTGCCAGGAGCAGATGTGTCTCATTGTCATGAAAAGCCCTAAGTTATTAAAACATTTAAAATGCTATATTTTGTAGTCTTTGAAAGATATGAAGAATGCCTATCTAACTGAAATATATCTCTATATATCTGGAAAATCTAACTAACATGACTACAAGCTTGATTATCATTGATGATTATCCATTAACAACCTATATTTTCTAATTATGCATTACATTTTTAAATGAACTACACAATCACAATACCTTAATCAAGATTAGAAACATGCATATACATATAACAAAACTGACCTTAAATCCATACCAATGCAAATTATTCATATCTATATCATAAAGGTGTTCACCTTGGATGCACGGGAAATCAGCAAAGGAACCATAGGAAGTTGGCAAAACCTTCCATATATGAATCAAATTCAGAAACGTAAAACCCTCTTCTGGTCCAAGTACAAGTTCCTGTAAGTATTGATCAGTGTGTGCAACAACTAGCAACTGCAGGTTCCTCTTCCTCAGCCTGCACGGTACCTAAGAGTCACACTGAGTTGTGAGTTCTGGGTTGTGATAGCAACTGGTGCTTCTTCTTCAGAGTATGCACAGCTCACCTGGGTCCAGCTTGTCTATGTCTCTCATTTCTTTAGTGCCCTTATCCCTTCTACCTCGGGTCAGGATTCCAGGACCAAGTCTTGAGGGGTGAAAAAGAAGTGGGGGGGGGGAGATGAAGAAGAGGAGAAGAAGGAGGCATCAGCTAAAAAAAAAAAAAAAAAAAAGATCTCATATCTTTCACAACAACTAATTCAAAATGGATTATAAGCCAAAATATAAAGCTGCCAAACTTCTAGAAGAAAGTAACAGAAATTCCAGGGATGAATTTTTGGACACAACACTGTAAGCTGGATTCATGAAAAACTGGATTCATTGACCATATAGACTTGATTGAAATTCAAAACTTCTCAGCTGGAGGGTGGTTCAGTCATTAGGAAAGTGCACTGCTCTTGAGAGGCTCCAAGCTCTGTTCTCAGCACCCATAGTAGGCATTTCACAAACACCTGTAACTCCAGCTCCCAAGGATCCAGCGCCTTCTTCCGGCTTCTGCAGGTACTGCACTCACACGTGTACATGCATTCACACAGACACACATACCTAAATAAAAATAAACAAAAGAAGTTTAACATATCCAGATTTTAAAAAATTATTTAGGAAGTCAGAGAGTTCTAAGCAGGAATGGGACTGCAGCGAGAGACTTTATTCTACCACAGGCGTGCAGCACAGAGAAGGGGTGGGCAGCATGCTGCCAGAGGAACCACACGGCGTCCTTCAGTCAGAGGTCATTTCTCATTGAGTCATGGTGCGTGGGTTAATAACATCGGTGCTCCTATCCATAAACAGCTGGATTAGAAATGGATGGTAGAGAGCTGGAGAATTGGCTCAGCCATTAAAGGCTCACAACCAAAATCTAAGAAATGGATGGGAGACAGTAGAACCCAGACTCTCACAACGGGATGGAAATTTATGGCTAAGCAATAAAGTTGATGACACTCGTATCCACTCATGCTTAGCCTGGTGTCGGTGCAGGCAGAAACGTTTGTAGGCATGTGTACATCTTCAGGTTCCTATGCACACATACTCACGCCTCCCCTTGTCAGCCGAAAGAGCTTAGGATCAATACTCAACTCTGCACCCAGATCCTGGTTTCTACAGTCATCCTCCACAGAAAACAGACAAAGCACCTCGGAGAAAAACGCCCAGGATTAGGGCAGGAAAGGCTCAGGATGAGCCTGGCAGAAACTGAGGAAGCACTCAGGAGAAAAAGAAGTGATGGGGATGTATCAAAGGTCACAGAGCAACTGGAAGGGCTACCAACGACCCACAAGGAAGCTATAAAATACACAACAATGGTTCTAAAATAATAAATAAGAGGTTGTTTAGCAATAAAAGATTATTACTGAATTCAGACTATAAAGTAAATATCTATGAATCTATAGTAAGTAAGAGATAAATAGATGGATAGATAGATAGACAGGTGATTGATAGGTAGATAGATAGATAGATAGATAGATAGATAGATAGTAGATAGATAGATAGATGATGGGTGGATGGATGGATGATGGATGGATAGATGGAAAATAACTGTCTCTTGCAAGAGAATGCCAAGCCATGTGTGTGAGAACTACACATCCATGCTGAAGGAGCAAATTCCCACTCCAGCAGTCGGCAGGTGTGTGGTGATGACTTTGCAGATGGCTCAGTGGGAAGGTGGATAAAGAAGCCACTTTATGATGGCGGCATCCATAAGCACCCACAGCAGTCATTTATGTTGGAAGTAGGTCAAGACCCAGGCACACTTCACCTCTGCGGGCTTTTCTCCGGAAGGCTTGGCCACACCCTCGGAAGTGTTGCAGTCACCACAAACAAGAGAAGGTTGAAAGAGATAAAAGCTGAATGGAAGACAACACAGGGGAAGGAGGGCTAATGAAGTTCGAATGAACTGCAGAACGTGGCTAATGACGCTGTATCAATATTGGTCCGTTAATTGTAACAGAATTAGAGAAGAGTCGGTGAGCTTCCAAACCAATCAATAAAACCGATTGCACCTGCAGCGTGGAGAGCAGGAGGAGGAAGAAGTGAATGGTACTCGGGCTTGCACAGAGCTATGACGAGATCAGACACAGATGCAGAAGGAGGGAAGGAATAACACCAAACTCATTTCCTAGATGTGGTAAAAAGCCAAAAAATTGAGAATCCCAGGAGCAGACCTTACACAGAACTGAGTTAAAGTGAAAACCCGCCAGGGTGGCAGCTGTTTATGTCCACGGACACAAGCTAGCATGATCTGGGAGGGAGGAGTCTACGGGAGAAAATGCCCCCAGAGGGCTGGCCCGGAGGACTGGCAGGGCTGGGGTTGTGGAATGATCTTTCTGTGCACTGTGAATATGTGTCACTCGGACTGGCTTAGTAAAACGCTGAACTGCCAGCAGCTGGGCAGGATTTCCAGAGCAGAAAGAATGCTAGGAAGAGGAAGAGGTGAGAAGTCAGCCAGATGTGTAACGAGTCAATACACGAAGCAGAATAGAGGTAAAAGACACACGGTAGACTGTAGATTTATAAAAAGATGGTTTCAGTTATAAGGACTAGTTAGAAACAAGTCTAAGCTATCTGCAAAGCTTTCACAATTAAGAAGAAGTCTTTGTGTGGTTATCTGAGAGCAGGCTGGTGGGACAGAGACAGTCTGCCTGCAGTCTGGAGGGCATTTTCTAGACTGGTGATTGATGTGGGAAGACCCAGGCCACTGTTAACAGTGCCTCCCATGGGCAGATGGCCCTGGAGGGTGTAAGAAGACAAACCGGGCAAGCCAGGAGGAACAAGTCAGTAAGCAGCATCCCCTCATGGCATCTGCTTCAGGTCCTGCTCCGGCTTCCTGCCCTGGCTTCCCTCAGTGAGAGGTGTGCTGTGGAACCTTTCCTCCCGGGGCTGCTTATGGTCACAGTGTTTCATCACAGAAACAGAACCCCTCACAAAGACACATTCCTACACACCACAGTCAGGGCCCTCAAATGAGGAGGGACGCTCAGAACTCTGGGCTTTTATTATTAAGAACAATTAGAATTTGTGCTATGAAAAGATCCCAAGTTCCAAGGCCACGTAGGCTACAGAGGAGTCTGAAGCCAGACTGGATGAATTCGTGAGATCGTGTCTCAAAAGAAACAGTTAAAGAGGACCGAGGATGCAGCTCCATGGGAGAGCACCGGGATGCTGAGACGTGCAAGGCATGGGTTCAATTCCTCCCCCCCTACACACACACAAACATGGGTGAAGTAAGGACGTTTGGAGACCAAAAGGAATCAGAGATCTCATACCTGTCATACCTGCTCTGTTACAAAAGCCTAAAATGGGACCATTGTCGA